GGGGCGTCGTACGCCTCCAGTCCGGGACCCACGCCGCCAGCCCTAGTGGGCGGCCGGATTCGCGTCCCGCCTCAGCTCCCGGAGGACATGCTGGAGAGAGAATGAGCCAGAGAGACACACTGGTGCATCTGTTTGCTGGGGGGTAGGTCCCGGCGTGCGTGCGCTCTGGGGTTAAGGGCGCTGGGCCCAGTCGCGGGCGGGAGGGGCAGGGGTCTCCAGGAGGGGGCGCGAGGGAGGGAGGCCGCTGGCCGTAGGGTGAGGCCCAGGCCGGGGGAGCAGTGGAGTCAGGCGCGGGCAGGCTGACTGAGGCGGTGAGGTTCTGGCGAGGAGGGTTGAGGGACGAAGCCAGTTGGGGCTTGAGGCTTTGGGCCCACGGAGCCGGGGCGAGGCGGTGGCCCGATCCGCCGCGTGCTCGAGTAGCGGGCGGGGCTGGGGTCCAGGCCAGATCCTCGGTCCCCGCGGGAGCTGGCCACGCGCCGCGGTCTAGCGGGTGTCCGGATGCGGGGCTGTGGTGAGGAGACCAGGTCTGGGCCCCGCACAGCTTTCCTAGCCCGAGGGACACGGGGCGGGAAGTGTGGAGGCCGAGGACAAAATGGGCGCCGGGGCCTTCTCGGCCTGAGCTCCTTGCTGAGCGGGCTGGGGCCTCGTCTCGTCACTCACGCCCCACCTCGGACTTCGGGCAGTTGGTTTCCGGGCCTGGCTCTACTGGCGTGAGTGCTCAGAAGTATTGGTGCATTAGCGGGAAGGGCTTTAGTTCTTTTCTTTCGCTCGTAGTTCTTTAAGTTGTTTCTAGCTTTTGGAAAATTTCCTGCCGGAGCCTTTCAGCTTGTGAGATGTGCACAGCGGCGGTGCTTTTGGGGTCAGATTCTTCTCCTGAAAGCCAGCCCTTGTGCACACAGGCTGTTTTTTTGTTGTTACTTAAGTGGGAAAGTGGGGATGGAGAGAGGTCACATTCTTTGACGATAAGAGTTCACCTTCTTTGGCGATAGTTACTGTGTGTGTGTGTGTGTGTGTGTGTGTACAAGATTAGGACTAAGCTTAAATCTTGGTTTCCAACGTGAGTACTACCTATTTTGCAGAGCTCATTTAGTATCTCTCCTTCTTAGATTTATTCTTTCCAAGTTATTTGGAGTATTGTAGCAATATTAAGAGCTATTTCCTATTTGTGGGATTATGGAGTTTTTTACATCAAAAATGGCTACGGTAAATTTTGCTGAGACAGACCAGCTTGTCCTTCAACCTTGCAATTTATTTTTAGAGCAACCACTTTAAGGATATTAAATACATATGCATTCTGTTCACGGTGTCTAGCTTTGAGTTGGGACATACGGACTCTATTGCCAGTGATGGCAGTACTTTCTTTAGGTTGGCACATATTCTTTCAACAAATACTATATGGCAGTTGCGGACTAGCCCTGTTCTGGCATAAAACCGGTATTTTCTTTTCGTCTGTGAGGTCCAGGTTAGGCAAAGTTTTTTTTTCCATATTTTTGAAATGTTTATTACCACTAATCAGGCAAATTAAATAATTTTTTTTTAATCCCAGTAGCTAGCATGCTCTTGAGAAGCAGAGATGTCTTGGCATGCAAAAATTAAATTTCCTCATGTGAGTAGATCTGTGGTAACAGCTAAAAGGAGAGCACACATCTAGTTTGGCTACTCTTTTAATTTGGGTGAAATGAACAAACCCTTTGATTTTAATTGCTTCATTCGTAAAATTAGGAGTTTGTACTATGTGATCTCCAAGGCCTTTCTCTAGCTCCTAACATTTCTATTACTCTGCATTCAGGATTCATCTATCAAGGTTTGTTAAAAATAGGGCACACATGTTTGAAATAAATGTTAGCTAGATTGCACTAACTTTAAGTTTGGATTAGGACCATTATTTTGTTATTATTAATACATGCAAATTTAGGACCTTCTGATTAGCTTTTAATTTAAAAATAGAAATGGAGGGCTTTTGTAGCACATAAACATAAATTAGGAGTCCTGTCTTTGAAAAAAAAGCCTAGTACATACAGTTTATATAGAATACAGTGAAACCTCTGTAAATTGAGCACCCAAGGGTCTGTAACAAACAGGTTAATAGAGGTGGTCCTCACAAGGAACTAGGCCTGATGCCTACATGTGGTACATATCCTGTCTATAAAAATTAGGTCAGCAGCAGAAGGTGGTCAGCTATGGAGGTTCTACCATGATAAATGAGATCCTGTTATGTGGGATCTAATACAACATAGGTGCTCACTCTTGTAAATTCCCTTCCTTTGTATATCATCTTTATTTTTAGGTGTGCTTGTGTAAATGATTCTGATAATTAACCCAGTTTATTTCTATTTTGTCCATATTTTTTATTAGTCCCATATTCATTAAGGCACTTTTTTTAGAGTGCTGTGGTGTCATAACTCATGATAACCTCAAAGTGTTGGGTTCAAGCCATCCTTTCACCTCAGGCTATTTTTAGTAGTTTTAGAGATGGGGTCTCACTCTTGCTTAGGCTGATCTCCTCCTAATCTCAGACAATCTACCTGACTTGGCCTCCCAGAGTGCTACTGTTTATATTGTAAAAGCAGGAACATTTGAAGCACACTAGCGCTGAACCTTGGTTATGGGTGATGTACTCACATGCATAACTCGTGCTTTAAGACACCCTTTGGTCTCATTATGTTTTTGCCAGAGTTAATATTCTGAGTTTCTGAGGTCATTGGTTAGGTTAATGGAATTACAGGGGCATATCATGGCAACCTGCAAAAAAGTATAAATACAATTTAATTTTAGCTGTACTTTTAATAACATTGTATGTCTATATGGAGAGATACAAGCTGCATATTATCTACTAAGAAGAAGTTCTTTTTTTTTTTT